CCTGGTTTGGACTTTGTCAACGATCTCAGCTTAATTTTTTTCTGTCTTCGCAGTGATTTTGATTCTGGTATTTTACAGTTTTGATTATCCGAGTTCAATGCATCATGCAAGTCCCCAGTACTACGTGTGGGAGGGTTTGTTCCACTTTCAGGTGTTTTAGCACTCTCCTCCAAAATGGAAGCACCTTTCCGCCTTTGCTTTTTTGTATCAGTCTTCAGGCTGGGATTATTTTTTCGTTCTCTTTTCTTCTTGGAAGCCTCAGCCTCCAACTTCTCTTTAAAATGAGAGCGCGAGCGACATCTACGTAAGGGGGTGGGTGAGAGAGATCCTGAATTGTTCTCCTGCGATAACTGAGTATTTGGGCCTTCTGCTGAAGGTGGTACTTGTCTGGGTGAGACATTTTGATTCAAAATATCCAGGGCAATTTTAAGAGAACGGCGATATTTCAATTCTTCCACAGCCTCACTCGAATTATTGCTTTGATCTGATGAAGAACATGCAATAAATGCAATAAGCTTTCTTTGTATACAAGAAATAAGATGTTTTATTTATAGTATATATTTTAAGACGCAACTGAACACTTAAATCATCCATGATTCTTAACATACAGACACACAGAGGCACAATAAGTGCCAGCTTCCAACGCCTTATTTTGATCCAATTACACACAAGCTTCTTCACCGTTCCTTCTAATACAGTACCCAAGGGAAGAGCAAAAGTAGCTGTGATAACGTTTAGCCCATCGTCAGACTTTATGGATGGAATGGAAAGAGGGGAAGAGAAGTGAAAAAAAGCCCTCATTAAATGCATGAGTGAGATATGTAACTACTGTCCCCCAGGTTGAGTCTTTGTGGATTTCACATGCAGCACACACACAAAGCAGCAAATGTTTTGATGTATCCTCACCCAAGTTGGAGGCGATGTTTAAAATACGTTCTTCCGTCAGCGGTACCGCATCTGCACAGGTCACACTCACCCTGAAAATCACAGAATCAACAAATACAACAAAGCTGACTGAAAACGGTCCAGCGTTGAACATTACTAACAGCACAACGCTGCTTTCATCAGGCAATAAACTTGCAGTATTTCTTCCCCCCCCAAACCCACACTTGTTAGCAGAAGTTACGGAAAATAACCCCCACATGAAGAATGCCTGAGCTAACAGGATGTTGTTTACGGATGTTCCACAAGACAACTATATGGCCAGCTCTGACACTGCAATGGGTTTGGGTTAGTCACCTAATCCTTCTGTAATTCAACGACCTCATTTCACGGGTATCCTCGGATAAAGGGATGGCTGTTTTTTTAACGTGTAAGAGTGTAAACATATGACAGTAACAAGGATACTTAACTGTTCTTTCAAGCCAAGTATTTCAACTTTAAAAGCAGCCTCCTCTGATTTAGTAACAGATGTTTCCCCAGCCGCTCCAGCTTTGCACAAAACCTATTTTAAAGGGTAAAAGATGCATTTAAAATCCTTGACCAAGCCTGTCGGACTACAGAACGGATCTGACATCACAACATTTTTAATACGAACGGCACAGAATGCACTGATATTCCATGGTACCTGGTTGCAGCACTAGGACCTCTACAGATTAGCTCTTGTTTGAAGTATATACGTGTTTACTCAGATCTTACTACTCTGTTTCATTCATTTTTAAGTTACAGCCACAAACCTTTCCTCATCTGTACGTCTGCTTTACCTTTGCCGGCCATAAACGCTTCTTCCATGTGCAAAGAACATACTCTTGATCTGTCATGACTGTGTTTCACGTAGAACAGGAAAGTTCCAGTGTGCTCTGAAGAAAAAGGGAATAAAAGAGTTACCCAACACTTGGTCCGGTTTTGTCTTCCCCCTTTTTAAAAAAAGAAAAATAGGACTTAAGCAGAGCACATATTGTTACAGCTACGTATCACTTTATCTTTGAGATCACTGGACTAAGATTACTTTGCGCGCACGCTCCAAAATCAAGCTCCAATAGCGTATCTTTCTATAGCTGTGCAGCACCGAAGATCTCGCTGACCGCGCCAGTGTAGAAAACACTGTCAAAATTAAATTAAAAACCGCCACTGTGGGCCTGCATGCTCCGCAGCTCCCCAGGGCCGGCGCCTGCCGCGGGAGG